TTCAACATTTTAATCATCATCATGAATTATGCGTAAAGTGTACCGGATTCATTGAACAAGTAATTAAAATATTGGAAGAGGTTGGAACTTTATCGGAAAATAATAGAGATCAATTAATTGAAACTAAAGAATATAATGATTGTAGTACCTTGATTTTTGAAATTGAATATTATTTCAAAAAACTTGATCAAGTAAATTCAAATCAATTCGTAGTTAAGGAATCTCTCAAGAAATTCGTTCTTAATTTGGAGATTGTTGTTAATGCTATCCAGAGAGCCTCTGAACATTTGAAACCAAAGAAAGTAAGTAAATGGAGTCCTTCTATCGTTTCGAAAATAAAAACGATTGGAAAATTGATGGTTATGAAAAAGGAATCAGATCGAATTAAAGATGATAGCGATTTCGCTCCTCTTATGCATGAGGAGGAACATGTAATTCAACAAGGATTAAATATTCCGACCAGTGAAGTAGAAGATCCGTCAAATATCCCGACAAGTGTGGAAGATCCATTGAACGTTCCGACAAGTGTGGAAGATCCAATAGAAGTTCCAGTAATTGTGGAAGATCCATTGAAAGTTCCGACGAGCGAGAAAGAAGATCCAATTGAACCTATAATTCAACGAGAAGTAATTTTTACGGAAAGTTTAATTAGGGAAGACGAAAGTCCAAATGAACCTATCATTCAACAAGATATCATTATGCCGACAGGTTTCATTAAACAAGAATTGATCATTTCAACAGGTCTCAATCGTGGGGGCAATAATGAAGGAATGTTTTTTAATAATAAAGTTTCCGAGAAATGTATTGGAATCATTCCAAGAGATGATATCAAATTCACTAAATTTCAAAATGAAATGTCATATCTCATGAAATTATCATGTGGTTGTAACAATATTCTCTCGGTAAAAGGATTTACTGAACGTTCGATTATGGATAATCCTTCCATTTTGATTTATATTGTGAATTACTTGATAAGTTCTTTATTCCTTAAATTAACTTATAGAAATAAGTATGCAACAATGTTGGTTACCGAATGGGCGGAATTTAATCTTCCAGATTATTTAGAAAAAAATGACCTAGATTGGAGTGCTAAACTTTCTATCGCTCGTGGAATTGCCAATGCGTTGAATCATATTCACAATTTAAACTTACTTCATTACAACGTTAAAAGTGATAGCGTCTTATTGGATCATAATCTTGAACCAAAACTTCATAAATTTGGTATGGATGCAAAAGATTGCGTCTTTTTAAAATCAGCAAGATCATTAAAATCTTCAAATTGGTCAGCTCCTGAAGTTAAACGAGGGGGAAAATACACTTCAGCAAGTGAGGTTTATAGCTTTGGAGTTATTCTTTGGGAGATTGCCACACAAGAATGTCTATCAGGAAATAAATCTATCGATAAAAGAGATATTGATGATGCGCCAACAAATTATCTGACCCTCATGAAAAGCGCTTTGGATCAAGAGCCTCAAAATCGTCCAACTATGCAAGAGATGTTTGATTCTCTGAGTCAATTTGAGTCTTTTTATAGTGCCCGTCAACAAAAACAACAAAATCTTTCGATAAGAAATATTATAAATATATTACATACGAATTCTGTTGTTTCTAGCTCATCTGAGGATCATCTCACTATTGGTAAATATTTCTTTTTTTTTTTAAATTTCAACTGTCAAAAATTTCATAAATTCTAATTCTTAACAATATAATTTTAGATTCTGCATCATCATCACGAGTAACATCACGTGCAAACTCACCGGCACCTTCAATATCAGATCACGAATATATGTTCTTCACCAATAATGTCAATACTACTTCAAAAGTTGAAAATTCTACCGATATTGACGAATTTACTGTTAGCGAATCTACTTCAAGTATTGAAAAATCTTCCACCGTTAATGTCAACGATACTTCAAATCTTGAAAAATCATCAATATTTACCAATCATGTAGTAGAATCACCAATTTCCACTAAAAATGTCGACTGTAATTCAGATAATGAAAATTCATCAACGTTTACGCACACCAATGACGTCGACTACCATTCAGATACCGAAATTTCAACTTTTACCAATGACGTCGATTATCATTCAGATACCGAAAGTTCAACAATTTTCACCAAGGATGTTGAAATAAATGCTGAAAATTCACTAACTTCCACCAATGATGTCGATTATCATTCAGATACCGAAAGTTCAACAATTTTCATCAAGGATGTTGAAACAAATGCTGAAAAGTCAACAACTTTTACAAATGACGTCGATTATCATTCAGATACCGAAAATTCAACCACCATCACCAATAATGTCGAAACAAATGCTGAAAATTCCCCTACTTTCACCAATAATGTCGACCATAATTCAAATATTGAAATATTGCAAACTCTTACCAACGATATAAAATCCACTTCAAATATTGAGAAATCATCATCAACCATTATCCATCACGTCGAATCTGCTTCAAATGCTGA